GCATGCCTAAGGATATCTTTAGTCAAGTTTAACAGCTCAAAAACATAGCATAGCTCAAAATACTTTTAACTCATACAAACCCTAGAAAGGGCATTAAAAGCAGTAGAGACTCCAAAATAGGTCATGGGTTTTGCAAAATAAGGAGAGAAGAGTTAACAGTTACCTAAAACATCCAAATCTTAGCTATTTAGCTCCCCCAAAAACTCATTGTCAAAATCCCTAATATTTTCAAACATCAATCTTAGCGCTCCAATGATAAATCCAACTCAAAAAGAGTGAAATATGGAGGTCAAACTCACCTAGAATACTCCAATAGCTTTGAGATCTAAGCTTGAAGAAGATGGAGATCAAAGCTTCTAAGGGGTCGTTTACTTCATCTCTCTGTTTTTCCATTTCCAGTTTTCCAATTTTCCATTTCTCCAGTTTTCCTTCTCCATTCTTCCAATTTTCCATTTCTCCATTCCTCTGTTTTATATTTCTCCATTCCTCCAGTTTTTTTTTTTTTTAAAAGATAATAATAAAACCAACAACAACAACAACAACAACAACAACAACAATAATAATAATAATAATAATAATAATAATATAATACTAATAATAAAATAGCAATAATAATAATAATAATAATAATAATAATAATAATAACAATAAGAATTTAATAATAATATTAGCAAAAATTAATAATAATAATAATAATAATAATAATAATAGTAGTAGTAGTAGTGGCAATAATAATAATAATAATAATAATCTAATAATAATACTAGTGAAAATAATAATAATAATAATAATAATAATAATAATAATAATAATAATAATAATAATAATTTAATAATAATAATAGTAGTAGTGGAAATAATAATAATAATTTAATAATAATAATAATAGTAATAAGAATTTAATAATAATATATGAAGAAGAAGCGACGGCACGCGAAGAGGAAGAAGGTTGAAATCATGAAAACATGGCAAAGGGCGCTACTCAGAGTCGAACACGGGACGTCAGGGTCAGAGGGCGCTACTGTTCACGCATGTGTTTCCAATTCTCCATTTGGAGAAGTTGGATTTTGTATTCTCCAAATTCCTTAAGAAAGTTGGAGATTGGAGATGGAGTAAGCATTTGGAAGAAGATATTTGGTAAACAACTTCTCCAATTTTTATTTTTTCCACTTCTCAATTTCTCTATTTTTTGGAAAATTCTCCATTTTTCCAAGTTAGTAAACGACCCCTAAGTTTTTCCTTCCCTATCTCTCTAGCTAATACTCTTGTTTTTTTTTTCCCCTTTCAAATGATATGTTCCTCCAAGATAAAAGGGATTCCTTAAGCTTTAAGGATAAAGAGGGGCAATTTAGTAAATTTATCTAATGTCCATTTTAATAAGCTTTGACTTGTTGACCTAATTTAATAAACATAGATATATTTTTATTTCTAGGGTAGTGGGTATTACATCTTTGCTTTGGTTATAAATAATCATTTAAAAATTATTAATTTATTAAAATTAAAATTAAAATTATAAACAATTTTAAAAACCTCTCAACCACTCATCTTTTAAACAATTAGAATGAGTTTGCAAAAGCATATGTTATTGTTAGTTTGAACCCAAACTTATGAGCCCATCACACAAGATGAGCTTCAATTGGCCTACAGATCTCCAAATACTTATACAATTAATGCATCCACTATGAAATTGCTAGCAAAATAAAGCATATTAATTAAAACTAGATTGTGAAATGCTAACAATTTTTATGTTGCTAAAGACACGACTAAATGTGTAATTGTGTAAACTCCAACATAAATAATTTAAACTTTTCATTAGCATCAAACTTTTTCTTTGTCATTAGGGTTGTCATGCAGGTCGTACCGCCCCACTGTGGGATAGCAATTTGGTGGGCCGGGCCTCGAAAATCGTAGGGAAAATTTCTTTGGTCCTAACATGCCCCATGCAGGTTGGCAAACCTTGCGGGCCTGCCCACGGGCTAGCTTAAAATTTAAAAAGAAAATTACTTTTTAATAAAAATAAACATATATTAGATTACATACAATATTTTAATATAAAATAGGAAAAATGATGTTTTAATGTTTTATTTATAATCATAGCATGTACTAATGTCTCTATGTAAAAGTATTAATTTATATTTATATTATACAAAATGCAATGGACAATAATGTATAATATGGTTTTAAAAGTATAAATATTTATATGTAATAATGAGTTATAACATTTTATTTTTTTAAAATAATTATATTTTAATATTTGACGACCAGTAGGTTGGCCCGCGGCTCACACTAGTAAACCTGTATGTAAGCTCGAGAGGCCCGCTTCCTTGCAAGCCAAATATTTTTACCCTAACCTGCCCCATGGTTGGGCGGGTTAGGGCCAACCCGCGGGCCACAAATCTCTTTCACGCCTCTATTTGTCATACAACTTTCTCAAATATGCACATAACACTTTGATTATATACATGTGGGCCATTGCGTCACATAATAAGGTAGTGTTGGATTTTGAATTTCGAGGCCTAGCAAGATGCAGGCCGCATGAGCATGCGTTGTTAAGGAGTGGGCCTACCATTAAAATTCCCTAGCTAATTCATAAACCCTAGCTAGTTTCGTACCCAATAAATAGTACATTATAACGAACCCTAATTCTTATTCCATAACATCCTCTCTCTCTCTCTCTCTCTCTCTCTTTCTTTTTCTCTCTCTGTCTACCCATCTCTTTCTTGCCATCTCCCTCTCGCTCACAAACGATCAACAACGACACTAATGTAGCCTCACCAACACCGCCCTTTGACATAGATTTAGCTTTGTTGAAGTAAGATATTCTCTTGCTTTTTTGGTGTTTGTTCTTAAATTTTGTATATTTGTTTCTAATTTGTGTTGTGCTTGATTCCCTTTTTGGTTGATTTTTTATTTTTTAAATTAACTTTAAATTTAATTTTAAAATTTTTTTAAAAAAAAAAAATACACACACACATACAAATTGTCGGCTTCTCCATCCAACATGACGGAGCTAGGCACTCAAGCAGGCCTCTGTCTAGTTGGATGGGGAAGCCGTCGCCAGAGGCGACTTCTTTAAAAAATTAATTATTTTATATGAATTAATAATATTTTTTTAATTTTAATTTAATTACTTTATGTGAATTAATAATATGTTTTTTTAAATTTTAATTATTTTTAAAATTAAAAAAAAAATATCTAGGACCTAGAGCTAACCTGTTAATTAACTTAATATCATAAAAATGAAAATGTTAAATGTCTAATTGAAGCTTCTTTTTTTTTTTTTTTAATTTAAGAGGCTAATTGCACTTCGACCTATAGTCGAATGACATATTTGACCAGAGTAAATACCCAAAATGGTCATCGACTATAATGATTTTTCTCAATTTCGTCCTAAACGACTTTAGTGATCTAATGTAGTCTCAGACTTTGTGTTTTTGCTCAATTTAGTCCTCTGTTTGTAATTCCGTCCATTAGGTGTTAAATAGAGAGACAATTTAGTAATTTCAATATTAGCATCTCTTTATATATTCCTAGACCTGCGAAGTGCGAAATCCCTCTTTCTTTTACGAATTACTCCCAAACCTGCGAATATAAATTTTGATTTGCAGGTTTAGGAGTAATTCGTAAAAGAGTAAAGAGATATCGATATTGAGATTACTGAATTGTCTCATTATTTAACACCAATTTGACGTAATAATAAACGGAAGACTAAATTGACTAAAAAACCCTAAAACGTGAGACTGCATTAGGTCAACAAAGACGTTTAGGACGAAATTGAAAAAATCACTATAGTTAATGATCATTTTGAGTATTAACTCTATTTGCCCATTATCATTATTTGATTTTTTTTTTCCAATTGCAGTACATAAAGCTATTTAAAATTATAAAAGTTTTGAAAGAAAATTATCATATATAAATAATAAATATAAATTGAAATCATTGTAAATTTATAATGATGTATTCAATAGTTTTTAAAATCTATAAATATATAGAATAAACATCTTATACTATTCAATATATATATATATATATATATATATATATGTCAATTTAATAAAGAGCAATCATTATAATTATAATTACTATAGCAATTAATAATAATAAATTAATAATATATTAATTTTTTGAATATTTTATATTCATTAGTGAAAATTACCCTACCCCAAATGTTGAGTGAATTCCATTTTTGGTCTTACTGTTATAGGGGCGTTTTCAATTTTAGTCCACCTTAAGTTTTTTTGGCCACTTTATAACCACTATTATTGAATGTGTTTCACTTTTAGTCCCACTGTTAGTATTTCCATCAAGTGGTCGTGTAATCTAGGGGTATTTTGACATTTCTTCTCATCCAAGACTGTTTGACTAAAGAAATGAGAACATTAAACCTAAAACCTAAGAAACCTCGCCGACCCATGTTGGAATGAACGAAACAATGTAGCTTTGGCTTCCCATTCTCGTTGTTCGAAGAGCCATCTTCGAATATCGGAGGAGGAGGACGAAGCGCCTGAATTAAAAGAGAAGAGACAAACATAAAAAGAACAAAATACCCTTTGATTATACGGCCTCTTAATGGAAATATTAACGGTGGATTAAAAGTGGAACACATTCAATAACAGTGGTTGTAAAGTGACAAAAAAAAAAAAAAATTAAAGTGCACTGAAATTGGAAACGCCGCTATAACAATATGACCAAAAATGGAATTCACTCCCCAAATGTTTAATGAAAATCTTTTCTTACCTAAACTGAAGTGATAACAAGTTGTACATAGGAGCCTATATATACAGGCTAATCGCGCGACTCAGTCACTCATTTGAATTTCAAAATGAGTAGCCAAGAGTCATTTGCTAACAACCTTCTCACATGTTACAACTTAGCTTGTCATTCCAAGTATTGCAATTAAACCATAATCAAAATTTAATCTTAACCTGCTATGTGAGAATATCAGAAAAACTGCAAGGATACTCAAATTAACAAGTATACATCACTTAAATGTATATAGAAGGTATGGAATAAATAAGACAGAAATTCAATTCAACACAAGTACAATAAGATTCTTAGCCAATAATAACTATTTTCACTTTTGTAGAGGCACAAGAAAAATGCAAAAGCTCCTCCTTGTATTTTTCAAAGTCATCATCATTGTAGCACATTGGTGACCGAGTGATGACAACCTCCTCAAGTGCCGGAAAGCAAGCAAGTAGCTCCTTGATGAAAACAATACAATCCTCAAACGCTTCAAATTCAATCAGCTTCAAATACTGTAGCATTTTAAGACTTTGAGCTACAGTACGAAATTCGTCATTGTTTGGAAAAACATCAAAAATCTTCATAAAAGCAAAAAAAAAAAATAGTTAAGACATTTACACAACAAAATTGCATAAAGGAATGCAAAATAATAATAACAACAACAACAAAAACAGTAATAACAATAATAATTAAAACAACTAGAATCAAGAAAATTACCGATAAATTTAAATCAAGTTGACATAATTTTGGACATATTCGAAGCAAATGAATGAATTCTGAAGAAACGTCACTGGTCAAATAAGTGCTTTCTGATACTTCCAACAGTATCAAGTATTCCACATTTAGTGCAAGTGGTTGTGGTTGCAGTCCCCTTCTAGTACATCCTTTAACAAAATCCTTTGAAACCAAATAGAAATGAAGTTAGATTTGTTCCTAACAAATACTTTAAATAAATAATTATTCAAACAAAATAGAGGCTGGCTAAGATACTGACATACCGTGAGAGAATAATTATCCAAATCAAGAGTACGAACAGAACTCAAATCCAAGCTAATAGGGAGTTGGAAAACATGGCAATCGTTGATAGTTAAACTATCGAGTTTTTTAGCAGTAATGTTCACATTGAACATGTTATCACATCTCATAAATGAGAGATTCTTGAGCATAGGAAAATCAACCTGAACCGGAAGATCAACACCATCAAAGTCAACATAATCAAAACAAAGTGATGTGAAATTTGGTAATGTGCAATGGCCATTTATTGATTCAACAGAGATTCCATTATTAAGATGCAATCTCCTTAGTGTTGGGCAAGAAAATATGCAATTCGGAAGCCTGTATTCATCTTCATCCATAAGACTAAGGTAAATTTCTTCAACACCTTTTCGTGTGACAAAAAGTAACCACTGATCCAAGTCAAATGACCGAGGCCTAAGCGTATTCCTAACGAGATCCTTAAAATCAATGAAAAATGTGCAAATAAGTCCATTGTGCTGGTTGAGGACTTTGTTGATTATATACAAAGCTGCAGCCACCCAAACATCACTGTTTTTCTTTTCCTCTTGTGTGGTTTGGGTCCCGATATCACTGCAAGCATGGGAATATTTTCTCTGAATGCGAACAAAAAACATAAAGTCAAAGTGGAGCTTTGTAAGACTGAACCACATATCTCTCCAAAAGGTAGACAAAACAGTCATTCTAGCAGCTTGTTCAATCGGTAATAATCCCAAAATCATGTCAACTATATGTGCTGGGAGTTCACTGATTCTATCTCTCTGCTGGCGTTTTCTCCCCATAATTAAACAAAACCTTAAGATGGGTGAAATAATCGACAATAGTAAATTAGTAATTGTAAATTGCAAGCCTCAGCTGCAGGCGGGAAGATACTAAATTTCAAAGATGCAAGACACAAAATTTGACGGAGTGCCTATCCTAACCCATTGAAGTCAGATCAGTACGAGATTTATGCTATATAAGCATGAAGCATGATTAAGGTAAAAGGATTAGTTCCCCAAGCATTTAAAAAATTCAAGACACACTTCTGCAGAGTGAAGAACTGAAGATGCATCAATACCACAAAAACAATACTTTACAATGAAACTCTGCCAGTTAAAAGAAAAGAAGGAACATATCAACACAGAAACAACTTTTTGTGTTTTTGTCAAGGTGACTAGTACAGGAAAAAGTGCACATTTTTAGACAACAAATTGAACTTGGATCAACCAAAATTCATAAAGCAGGCACCCTGAACTGGGAGATATGATTTTTAATCCGCAATAAATAAATGCAATTTTTTTCACAATAACACCAATGGTGATCTTATATTCCCCATCTTTAATTCGAACAAAACTGCATAGAAGAAAAAAACAGTCTACAATATTTCAACATCACTTATTCAATTTCAATCGCTCTATGAACACATATAAAACATTTATCCTTAAAAGATGAAAGATCGAGTTGTGTAAATCACAGTATGAAGCTTTGAGCGAGAGAAAGGAAAGCCGGAAGAATGTATACATACATACAAACACGCTGCCGCACAGTAGATTGGATTTGAGAGAAAGCAGTTATCGAAACGGCGAACCGGAGAAGTGTTTGAGTTGAGATAAAGCGGTTATCAATGCTATGTTCCTAGTCCGACTACTGCAATCGGATCCGAAAATTGAAAAATCTCCTTATATACGGCATCGTATAAATCCCGGTAAAAATAAGGATGGGATAGGCATCTCATATATATTACAATAATGTTCGAAATAGATTACTGAATTACACACAAATATGCAATTAGGGCCATCACACTTAAATAATTGTAATTAAGCCTTTTTTTTTTAATAAAATGGGGGGCACCAAGCTAGCACGTGACTAGCTCTTCGCAAGCACAACATGGGCACGAACACCACCGAGGTAGTCATTGTAAAGGGTGTTGCTATTTGAACCACCCATTGGTCAAAAATGGATATAAAGTATTTTGAAATTGTAAATAGGTAAAAACTTTCAATAATTACATAAGTGTTGTAAATAGCCAAATGGAGGTTCATTTTGCTAATTGCACCACTTTGATCAAACCTCATTTATGATATATAATTAATAATTTTTTAATTTAAAATTTAATTAATTAAAAAATTAATTTTTTTTTTAAAAAAAAAAAAGATGAACCCATCACTTTTACTGTTTTGTTTTTTTTTTTTTAAACATTAAATTAAAACCTCATTTACTATTTTTTTTAATGCCTAATTATTTATGCAATATTTTTTTTTAAATTTTTATTTTCAATACATAATTTTTTTACGTTTCTATTCTCAATACGTCTTTTTTTGTTCAATATATATATTTTTTGTTCAATACATATCTTTTTTAGTCAATATTAATATTTGTGAGATGAAACTACTGGTAATTTGTATTGAATCTCATTTTTAATGAGTTTGAGAGGTCAAAAGCTGGCGGGTTCACTTTTGAAAATTGTGGATGTTGATTGCGAACAAATTGTGGACTTCCATGTGCACACGAGCAGGTAACATATTTTAACAATGATAAGTCTATCCCACTTGATTCGATTGACATATTTTAGAGGAAGCTCGACTTATCATTTTCTATCTCTCTAACCAATGAGGATTTTGGTGCTGAGCATGAGCTTCATATGTTTAAGGACCAGTTCAAGAAACAATCAAGAACTGGTAAATTCAACATATTGAGAAAGTTGAGGGAGTTGATCGCGCGCCATCTACAACTTCGATTTGTGTGCCAGCCATGCAAATAAATGTTCGTGGGTGTCCCACTTCAAAAAACAAATCTCTCATAAGAACTCTATCTCTAAAAAAAACTCAACCCGAGCCAATAATATTCTGTTTCAAGAACTAGCTCGGAATAGTTGTTCAGCTGCATCAATATATTCATCAATATCCGGTTATATTCCATCCTTTCATCATGCAAATGCAAGATATGAGATCCGACGGAAACTGTGGATTTTGAGCAGTAGCTCTCTTTCTCGGTTTTAAGGAGGACGAATGGTTCAAAATTTGATCCAATTTAATCGAAGAACTAGAGTCTCACAAGATGGAATATACCAATATGTTTGGAACTCAAGGATGGTATAATGTCTATAACACGTTGAATTTTTTTGCACAAGATCGGTTTGCACCAATTAAGCATTGGATGGCTATGCCGGAGATGGGTGTACTAATTGCTTCCCGATACAATGTGATACTACATGTTTTGAGTATGGCCGGCAGTACAACATATTTCCCACTCCATTTAGCCCACCACCTTGGTACGAGCATGTAGCAATTGCCCTTGTTTACGTTAATAATAATCATTATGTTAAGGTAACATTGATAGGAGGGTACCCAATACCTACTATTGCTCCACAATGGACTTATTTTAGATATGATTGTGCAAATGCATGGATTACTCCATATACGAATCGGATTGAAAGTTACAATGAGCATGTACGCTCTAATTGTACTCAAGAAAAATGTTATATTAGATTGAAATTGAATAAAATTTGTCTCTAACGACTCTCAACTCCGATCTTTCGAGCACATCCTGTCTGCAATTAAGTCTTTGAACAAACTAAAATTATGCAATTAAATCGAAATTAACAACCGACTACTATGTAGTGTGATTACACCTCTATTACCGTTCCAAATGGATGATCACATAATCGAACTTCGATTATGATAGGAGCTTTGATTCTTTGGGCTGAAATAGATTGGTGAATTTTAGTTCAGTTGCATAATCTTGAATTGTTTAAGGATTCAATTGTAGTTTTTTAATTTGATGACCAAATTACTCATTCACGTGTAATTCGGTGACTTATTTAAATATTATTCATTTCATATTATTTTATTGACATATATATTAATATTAGTCTTTTATATGCGCAATGTGCAAAAAATAATGCACAATGTTAATACTTAATATTAAAATCTTAGTTATATTGAAATATTTTTTTAAATAATAATATATATTTTTTAATTTCATCGCTTTAGAACTAATATTATATTAAATGTATAATTGACAATTTGCATAATAATTATGATATAATTAATAATTGGTTAAGTAAGAATACTAGATCCAAGGAAAAAAAAAAGTAAGAATACTAGATATAGTAAATGATTAAATATAATTATGATAATATTTAATATATACTACAATTTATGGGTATCATTTTAGGCAAACATATCTCTGTTATAAATAAATATAAATAAAATATATATGTACTAAAAAATAAAAGTTATAAAGAGCAACTACAATCGAATTTATTATTGGATATAGTTAACTTAGAATATGGAGGATCACAAGGTGAGTTTCACTTAAAGCACACAATTAACTAACAATCACAGGCTTTATTGTAACTTATAAAAATAAGAATTACACCTTCTTAACATAAACCTACAAATTAAGTCAATAATTACTCATTTTAGTATAATATAGATTCTTTAGATTCAGTAGATTGAGAAAATATATATAAACAGATACTACATTTGTAATATGGTGTACTAAAAAAAAAAAATTCTTTAGCTTGTTTTATTTATTTATTAATTATTCGAATATTATTTTAATATAATAATAATTTTAATATAAAGCATCAATGTGACACACTCACTTTAGCTTGTTTTATTTATTTATTAATTATTCGAATATTATTTTAATATAATAATAATTTTAATATAAAGCATCAATGTGACACACTCACTCACACATTGCGTGTACAAAAACTAAGATAAAGGAATTATGGGCAAATAACCAAATAATTTTTTTAATAAAATATAATTACAACTATCAAACTCCAAAGAATTTCCTTTCAAAAAAAAAAAGTCAAAAAGAATTTTTTCTTAAAAAAACTCAAATAATTCTAATTAAGCACTTGAAATAATTTGTTCCAAAGTTTTTAAATAGGGAAAATGACACCCCCGAATTATAGGCTTATAGCAATTTTTTCAATAGTTATTGCGTGGACCGTAGTCTACACAGCTGTGTAGATCACGGTCCAAAAACGACTCCATTTTGCTTAATTTTATTTTTTCGCGCGTCCAGTTTCAACATATACATTTTTAGAACTATACATTATTCTAAAATATAATGTACATTATTCTAAAGTATAATATTTACATTATTTTAAAACATAATGTACAGTATATTACCCAAATGTTTCATTATTCTAAACACGTAATATACATTATTCTAACACGTAATGCACATTATTCTAATACATAATGTACCTTATTCTAACACATAATGGATGACCACAGTTCGATTTGAACCGAACCGAACACTATTGCAACCGAACTGAAACAGTATGGACGGTTCGTGTTATGATTCAGAACTGGAAAAAATAAAATAATTGTTGAATTTAGACTATTTTTAAAAAAATTACAAAAATAAATAAATAAATAAATTTTGAAACGGCGATTCAAACCGTAACTGGAATCAGAATTAATGTGAATTGAAACCAAACAAATGGTGTTTACAAAGTTGTTCGATTTTGGTTCGCATTTATTCTGATTATTGTTTCGGTTTGAACCGCCGGTTTAAAATTTATTTATTTATTTATTTTTGTAAATTCTATTTTCTATTTTAAAGTAGACTAATTGACGACATATTATGAAGGAGCATAAAATACAATTTTCCCTTAAAAAAATTAATAATAGATCAGAGTTGGCATTTCATACTATTCAATTATATATCTCTAGAGTTGATTTGTCAAATTAATCAAAATTGACGACGACGACGACGACAACAACAACGACAACAATAACAACAACAACAACAACAACAATAATAATAA